ACCAGATAGCCAAGTGAAAAAGCAGGTAAAGGCTTTAATAGGCACATCACAAGAAGAAATCCAAATATAAAAAAGGGGCTCATCCTCCTTCATAAAACCAAAAGAGACACCATTCTCTTGCCCAAAATATTTAAGTTTGTCAATACCAAGTGATAGTGAGAATGGGAAACAACAGGAATGCTCATATTCTGTTGGGTGAGAATAAATTGGTATAACCACTTTAGCAAACAGTTTGGTATTATGCTGTAAATGGAAAATATAAATTTACTATGATCCAGCAATTCCACTCATAAATTTAGATCTTGAGATACTGATACCCATGCACACGAAGAAAAATATACAATAACGGTCATAGCTGAGTTTTTCAATATTATGAAACAGAACAGAATACACAAATTATGGTATATTCATATAGTAGGATAGTATGTGTACAATGGATTAGAGAAATGAAATGTTATACACAAATGAATGAATGGCACAAAAATAAGTCAGACACAAAAGACTGTATATATTGACATATATACATATGTCTGTATATGTGTATATATAAGATGTAAATTTCATCTTTAAGGATGTAAACTTCTGAGAGAAGGAAAAATATAAGAATATGGCTACTTCTGGGAATGGATAGGATAGAGACATGTAGGGTTTGACTGGTAAGGGCACATAGCACAAGTATGGTAGACTGGCAATGTTCTATTTCTTAATTTGGGTGGTGAATGCCTTATAATTACCCATTAAACTGTACCTTTATATGTATTTTACACACTGTTCTGTATATGTTAGATTTCATCATGGGAAATAAAGAACAACAAAAGAGTATACACAGAGAGAGATCCAAGAAAGCAGAAAGCAGTATTTGTTGTAGGTACTACTCGCAAAGGGCTGCTTAACAACCTTCAAGTATCTTCAGTGAAACCCAAATAATAGTCCATCTCTACACTAGACTATTATTTCTTTCATTATATTACCTTTATCATTACTGTTACATATTATATCTTAACAAAATTTCAAATCTAATTATAAGAGAAATAATCCTTTGCCAAGTTTTTTCTACTTGACTCCATATGCCTGCTACATACACAGAGAGCCATTCCGAGAGAGAAAGCCATAAACATTTGGCACAGCAGATATAACTAAATGTTCCACTAAAAATGATCCATAAAACATTCAATAACATAGTGGTAGATTTACTTTAAATCTTATGAAGTTAAACTACATATTAAGTAGTTAATTCAGTAACTTAACTTACATTATTCAAGAACATAAGTATCCTTTATATGACATTTTTCTGCCACAATTTCCATTCAAATATGTTTTTTATGAAAGAATCTAAGTTTTTGCCCTGTTCCGCATCTTAATAGCCATATAAGGCAATTTGGATTCCACTTTCTTAACAATATGGGAGAACTTCAGTTTCCTGGATGTAATTTATGAATTTCATCTATTTAACTAACTTAGTCCCTTCAGTTGAAATGAAGCTAATGGGAAACTTTTTTATTTGATTTTAAGAGTGTATGTGTATATATATATATATATATATATATATATATATATATATATATATATATGCTATGAGAACGTATGTTCTTGTCTTTACAGTTATAATCAGGTATTTTTCTAGAACCAACTGTTACCTCCTTGAGTACAGCTGGGTTTTTATGGGAAGCACATTTGCAGTCCTTATATTCCATCCACTTTTCAGTCCAATAATGGCCTACAAAAATGTTTCAATTTGGCTATTCCTCATTGCCCCTCAAATTCATTATGTCTAAAATTAACTTAAGATTTCTCTCAAATTGGGATATCATCAGTACCACGTTTCTGTGGAATTTCTTAGAAAAATTGTATTTTATTATTTTCCACTTAACACCATTATATTTATTTTTTATTTTTAAATATGGTTTTTACTGATTTTAGAGAGAGAGGAAGCGGGAGGGAGAAACATCAATGGGAGAAACATGAATCAGCTGCCTCCTGTATGCCCCCTGACTAGGAATTGAACCAGTGACCTTTCGGTTCATGAGACGATGTCATCCACTCTGGCCAGGCAACACCATTATATTTAATATTACCAAGTTGACAATTTCTTTTCCAAAATGGCTCTCAAATTTACCTTTGCTCTGCACCTTCACTGCCAGTAACCTTGTCCAGATTTCTATTGCTACATTCCTAGGTTTCTACAACACCTTAGTCTCTCCTCTTCCTGTACTCATACCACCACCAGACTCATTTCCTTTCAGCAACATTCAACAGGTATCTCTTGTGCCTGACTTTCACTGACTGACATCCATAATTAGGCCCCATTTTATCCAAACTTAATTCTCCTTACTCTAAAACACCTCCACCACTACTCTGTCCTTCACCATTCAAGTCTATTTTTAATGTCTACATCAAGTTCTAATTTCTCTAAAAGGATTTATTACTAATGCTACAATTTGTTGTTTTCTTCTCAGATCGTTTCAGACATGTCAATTTTATCTCTATAACAGTACACCTAGGGGAGAAATGAAAAACTTTACATCAGAATTTTTAGGAAAAGACAAAAAGGTGTCAAGGCCAAGGTGCTCTATTCTATTCTGGTACTTGGGTCTTGGCTCAGATAACTAAATCAACAGCTGGTCTGTGAGCTGGCTAGTGAAGTATGACTCATTCTGCCAAATGGATTAAACAATTAGCTGCAATGGGAAAGTGTCTATGAAATTCTATTTAAACCACTGGGCATGTATTCTACATAAGTAATTATTTGAAAGCTTGGTCAGAGAATTTTAGTAAAAAAATTTGATTGCTAATTTGGATAATGTGCCTAGTGGGATAAAAGCCAAAACTCAGAGTTTACTAGGCAATCAAACATTCAATAATTATTATTTGACAACAAAAGAGGTCAGGTGATAGAATGGGGCTAATTTTCTTTACTCCACCCATTCTTAACCCTTTTCTCTTTAATGTTAGAGAAATTTTATAAAAGCAAAATCCATCAAGCTACAGCTGTAAAAATTTCTTTCTTCATTGTCCAGTCATGGTAATACCTCCATATTTCAAAAGGATAGAGATTAATAGGTTGACCTCACCTGTATCTACCATAATTCAAGAAATTCTCCATTAAAACAAAATCTAATCTTTTCTTGCGAAAAGCCACTATATTTTCTTCCAATTGCACTCTTGTACCTAGATTTGACACCAAGATAATGTTTTCCATAACTTAATTTTACTTTTTAAGTTATACTTCAGAAACTATGACTGGGAGAGGTGTTAATTACTTCCCAAAGTAAGTTCCTAACACAGATGATTGTTTTTATGTTCTTTGTACTTTCCTTATAAAAAGGTATGTAATTATATGGTTTCTGTTTGGGGGTAGTGGTGGTGAAATTACAATAGAATAAGATACTATTTGTATTGAAAATACTTGTAGCAAGTAAAAACCTTACAAAAAAACAGTGTAATACAGCAACCCAAGCATCCAGATGAAAGGATAAAAAGAAAAAGTGGTACAATCTGTAATGGAATATATTCAGCTTTAAAAAGAAAATAAATTCTGCCCTCACCAGTGTGGCTCAGTTGGTTGAGCATCGTCCCAGACACTAAGAAAGAGGTTGCCAGTTTGATTCCTGGTCAGGGCACATGCCTGGGTTGCTGGCTTCCATCCCCAATAGGGGGCATGCAGGAAGCAGCTGATAGATGTTTCTCTCTCTCATCAGTGTTTCTCTCTCTCTCTCTTTCTCCTTTCTTCTGTCTAAAACAGGGGTGGGAAAACTTTTTGACTTGAGGGCCACAATGGGTTCTTAAACTGGACCGGAGGGCCGGAACAAAAGCATGGATGGAGTGTTTGTGTGAACTAATATAAATCCAAAGTAAACATCATTACATAAAAGGGTACGGTCTTTTTTTTTTTTTTTTTTTTTTTTTTTAGTTTTATTCATTTCAAACGGGCCGGATCCGGCCCGCGGGCTGTAGTTTGCCCATGGCTGGTCTAAAATCAAGAAAAACCCAATTTTTTTAAAAAAGAAATTTTGATATATGCTGCATCATGGATGAATCTTGATGATATTATGCTACATGAAATAAGCCAATCACAAAAGGACAAATATTGTCTGATTCCTCTTATATGAGGTTCCTAGAATAGTCAAATTCAGAGACAGAAAGTAGAATGATGGTTGCCAGACGCTGGGGGCAGGAGGAAATGGGGAGTTAGTGTTTAATGGGTACAGAATTTCAATGGGGAAGAGAAGAAAGCTCTGGTGATGGTTGGTAGTAATTAGTGTACAACAATGTGAATGTACTTTAATGCCACAGAAAAGTATACGTAAAAATGGTATCATTCATGTATATTTTATCACCATGAAAAGCCAGTATAACAGAGAAGAATATACAACCTTTTAAGTAAACACAACCTTTTGTGTTCTGCGTGGTTAATCAATTTTGAAAAGAAGCTATGCTCTCTATTGCTGGAAGTATCTACTTCTCTCCACATAATAGAGAATATAGAAAAAAGTTAAGTCTAAGATATCAGTGTCTACATAAGCAATTACTCTTGTTCACAGGAGTATTTAAATATCGTCTTCTTATGTCTCTGATAATTTTGCTGTAATCTTCTTGAATGTCTTTATCCATTCACTCAATACTTTATGAGCAGACTAGGTACTAAACTTTACGTAAGCTGCTAGAAAAAAAAAAAGAATACAGTATCATAATCTCTGAGAAGTGCACAATCTAGTAGACAAGGCAAACTAATTATAATACAACCTAAATGCTAATTAATTAGACGCCTGTTGGGAACTCAAAGCACAAAGCAACTACCTCTAGCTGGGGAAGCATAACACATTGCTAGTTGTACCCCCTACTTGTTCTTCCTTTCTTTCTCTCTCTATATAAAAGCCTAAGCGACCATTACGACTGGTCGACTGCTCGACCAGTAGCTATGACAATGCACTGACCACCAGGGCGCAGATGCTCAATGCATGAACTGCCCCCTGGTGGTCAGTGCACTCCGACAGCGGGAGCACTGCTCAGCCAGAAGCCAGGCTCATGGCTGACGAGCAGCTGCGGCAGTGGGAGCCTCTCCCGCCTCTGCGGCAGCTACCGAGCGGTGGCGGTGCTGTTGTCTGGCCCCAGCTCGGGCTCCTCCCCGGCTGTCTGCCTCTTCGCACACTGCTACATCCCTTGGGGGATGTCAGACTGCCGGTTTAGGCCAAGCCTGCGGGATCTGGCCTAAACCAGCAGTCTGACATCCTCCGAGGAGCCCCAGATTGCAAGAAGGCACAGGCCAGGCTGAGGGACCCAACTGGTGCACAAATCCGTACACTGGGCCTCTAGTAATAATATAATTAGCTAGCACACAGTTGCCAAGAACAGACACATTATTCGGTCTTCATTCAAGCCAATGAGATGCACGGAGAAATGTTGTGTGGGAGCTTTAGGGAAACTTTAAGAGATAGCTTGCCTAAGACCTTTCATTTTTGTTCCTTCATACTCATGCTGCTTAAAACAAAGATACCTCAACTTTGGGCCAGAAGGACAAAGGTCTGAGAGATATGAGAGATTCTGAAGGAGTTACTGGAAACTACTTCCTTAGTGATTTTGTGAAGAGCTGTCATTTCAGCCTTACACCGCAAACTCCAAATTTTTATGGGAGAAAAATAAATCCTCTTGTTTTTAAGGTCATTGTTATTTTGGTGGTTCAGTTACTTGTCACTGTACATAATTCTAATGAATGCAGGGGGTCAGGGAAGGCTTCACAGAAAAAGTGATGTTGAGCAAGGTTTTGAAGAATGAATAGTTACTTGCCAAGTGGAGAAAGGCATTTCAGTTTCAGGCAGGTAATGTAAAGGCACAGATGCAGGAAAGGGTCTGACTTTCCAAAGGATGAGGAGTGGTTCAGGTGACTGATGTATAAGGTAGGTGGAATGAAGTAAAAGAAAAAGCAACCCAAAGCTGGAAAAACACACTTAAAGAGTCTTCTTCCATGCCATGCTGAAAAAGATGCTTTTACTCCTGTACTTGGTCATCTATAATAATAAAAGCATAATATGCTAATTAGACCAGAGTTCTGGAAGGATGACGTTCCAGACGAAGCCGGGTCCCAGGTGCCAGAGGGAAACTGGTGCCGGCAGCCGAGGGAAGGAAGGCCTACTCTTGCACGAATTTCGTGCATCGGGCCTCTAGTATTAAATGACTATGAATTCAGATGATCTTCCGCATATTTTAGAAGATCCAAATGCCTCAGTCAGAAAACAAAGCAGTATGGATTAAGCTATGGTGAGGGAGAGAAACTTAGTTCTATAAGAGAAAGGCATACTAGTATTTCTGTACATGCTGAGGACTAGAAGAAATAATACCTGGCAGAAAGAAAAAATTAGGACTCCTGTGATAGTTAAGGGAGAGGAATCTGGACAACAAAGAAGAGCATACATATAATGTGGCAATGTCTGGCTGAGGTAAAGACTGGAATACCTGCTGTTTAAAGTAAACTGAGGTCAAAGAATTACAGTATAACTATGAGCATCTGATTATAATACATTTTATTTTTATTATCTGCCTGCACTCATTATATCCTTTTACAAGTGGCTGTCAGAGCTGAAGAGCATCTACCTATAATAGGAACCTGGTATTTGATGATCAAATACCTTTCCTATCAAAGAAGAGTTAAAAATATGAGTGAGGCAGAAAAAAATCAGTGCTCCTTATGTTTGTTTTAATTTTTACACAAGGAGGTACTATTCTTTTATTTTTCTGTAATATCATGTATTATTCTTGTAAACTTATAGTTTTAAAAACAACCACGTATGCCCAATCAAAAAAATAAAAAGTGGCAGCAACTATTACCTCATAGAAGTATCAAGAGACAAAATTATTGAGAGGTTCTATGGCTTCTGTGAATACATCATTTATCCCAACTTGCAGGAGACAATAAACAGACCTCAACGTTGAGATGATGCAATGTTGGAATTACCTGATGAAGATCTTATAGCAGCTGTTACCAAAAATGCTCCAAGAAGGGCAAACATTCTTGAAATGAATAGAGAGACTCAGCAAAGGAAAAGAACCAAATGGAAATTTGAAAAATGAAAAATACAATAATTCACTTCAATAAGCAAAATGGAGATGATAAAAGGAAGTCAGTGAACTTGAAGACTGATTGATAGAAATTATCTAGTCTGAACATCAAATAGAACAAAACATGAAAAGAGCCTCAAGAACCTTTGGGATAACAAAGGTCTAATGTTGGTGTTACTGGCATCCTGAAAGGAGAGTGCAAGAGTGGAATGCACAAAAGTATTTAAGAAAATAATGACTTTTAAAGTTTTCAAACTTGGTGACACAACATATATACAGATTTGAGAAGCTCAGAGGACCAAAAAAAGAACAAACCCCCAAGAAACCCATACCCAGACACATCATAGTCAAACTGATAAAAACTCAAGACAAAGGAAAACTAGGAAAGTAGACACACACACACACACACACACACACACACACACACACACACACAGTAACATACTATTAATAGGGAAACAGCAATTTGAATGAATCTAAATTTCTCACCAGAAACCACAAAGTGCAGAAAGAAATGGCATATTTTTAAAGGACCTAAAGAAAAGAACTGTCAACACAGAATTTCTATATCCAGTGAATATATTCTTCAGATATTAAGGCAAAATAAAGACACTCTCAGGTGAAGGTAAAATTAAGAGAATTCATGGCCAGCAGATATACTCTAAAAGAATTACTAAATGGTAGAAGGAAAATGATGACAAAGGAAAAAATGGGACATTAGTAATGAAGAAAGAACAAAGAAATTATAACCATCTGAGTAAATATAATAAATTATTTTTCTCTTCTTGAATGTTTGGCAGTTAAAAGCAAAAACTATAATGTCTGATGGGGTGTTCTATGTATGTAGAAGTAATATATAAGAAAATAAAATAAAAAAGGAGGAGGGTAAAGAGACATAGTGTTAAGACTTCTACATCCCACTCAAGTGGAAAAATATTTATTCTAAGTAGACTATGAAAATTTAAATATGTATATTATAATCCCTAAGCAACCATGCACACAGACACTAGAAAGAGATATAGTAAAAAAAAACAACACAAAAACCCCACAATAGATAAATTAAAATGGAATACTAAAAACTGTTCAAATAACTCAAAATAAGGCAGGAAGTGAAAAAAGTGATACAAAACAAAACAAAAATCCCTTATACTATCCCTTTGTGTCATACCCCTAACCCCTAACTATCCTGTTTTAACCCATGACAACCACTGATGTCATATAAATGGAATCATACAGTAAGTAACCTTTTGAGACTGGCTTCTTTTACTCAGCATAATGCTTTTGAAACTCATCCAAGCTGTTGCATGTGTCAATAATTCATTCATTTTATTGCTCAATAGTATTCCATTGATTAACTGCACTACAATTTATTTATCTAGTCACCTGTTGAAAGCCACTTGGATTATTTCCAGTTTGGGGCAATTATGAATAGAACTGTTAAAACATTTATGTACAAGTTTTTCTGTGAATACAAGTTTTCATTTCTCTAGGGATTGGGAAGGGGGAGGGGGAATGGGGAGATATTGGTCAAGGGGTATAAACTTTCACTTATAAGATGAATATTACTTGGGGACCTAATATATGGCATTAACTATAGTTAATGTACTGCATTGTATACTTGAAATTTGCTAAGAGCAGATCTTCAATGTTGTCACCAAAAAAGGGGGGGTATAACTATGTGAGGTAATAGCTATGTAAATTAGCTTGTTTGTCATAATCATTTCACAATGTATATGTGTATCAAATCATTATGTTGTATATCTTAAATATTAACAATTTTTATTTGTCAATTATACCTCAATAAAGCTGGGGGGTGGAAAATGCTGACTGGGACCAAGTACTAAGCAAACCATCTTAAGCAGGTATAAAATATTTCTTTTTTTGTGTGTGTCCCCAAAAATAAACGAGTCCACCAAAACACACAAATGATTATAATTCAAGAAAGTATTCTCTATAACTATATGTATTTTGGGGTGGCTGCCATAAAAGTTAGATCTTAGATTGTGAGTTTTAAGAAACAAAACACAACCATATGACCAAAGCCATTTATTTAGATAAGTAACCAACCTCACCATCCCTAACTGTGTCCTAGTTTCTAAACATTAAATGTAAGTTATCTGTAGAAGCACTCAACTCCTTTTAAATGACAACAGCATTTTTCTAACTTTTCAATCTTTAATCTTCTGGGATATGAGCTTTAAGTAGCAAATCCAGATGTTTCTACAGCTGAAAGTATGTTAATATGTAAGCTTGGGGCAATGAAAATTTGATAACAAATATTTATCTACTGCTAAACAAGTTAATTATTGAGTACTTAAATATTCCAAGCCCTAAGGGTCATACAAAAGAGATCAAGATGGTACAGGTCCTCAAGGACTTAGCTGAGGAGACAATACAGACTCATGAGATAGACACCAGAACTGTAAATAAAAAACTGTTATGTACAACAATTAGAGAATAACATCTAAATAGACATCAAAACATTCTGGTAACTCAGAAGAGAAAATAATTTCATCTGATGTTGAGAGACACTGGAATACAGTGAAAAGAAGAATGTACTGGAGTCTAGAGGCCTGTCTCAGCTCTGCCATTAAAAACTCTCGGGTATGTCCCAACTGCTCCCCAGTGTATAGTTAGTAGGCAAGGTACCTGATACAAAAAGGACATTTGTTCATTCACCACTGCTTTGGATTTGGCTAAGCAAGGAAGAAGGGGCAGGCAGGGGCTCCTTCTAGAAGGAATTCTGCAACTCAGGCCTATGGCAAGCTCACTATTTGAATTCAATTCCATCTTTTCACAACCATGTGGCTGTTCTCCTGGCCTCCTCCAGAGCACAAACTCTTGTATCAAGGGCCTCACTGTCCTGGGCCCAGCTGCACTGGCACCTCACAGTCCCAGGGACCCCCTATGATGCATCAGCTGTCTGGCTTAGTTTCAGGCTGGTTCTCTGGGTCTTAGTAAGCTTATCTGAAAGAAAGGGAATCAATCAGGTCCTTTAGAACATCATGATCTGTTAATATAAAAATTAGAAATATTATCCATAGAACATAAACCTTACTAAGTTGTCAGCTATGAGTAAAACAACTTATAAAATTTGTTATCTGGACTTTACTTGTTTGTTCTACAAGGAATATCAAACTGTTTTTAGAAATGCCAAACAGGAAAAGCAAACACTAATGAATTCTTTAAAAGAACAATTCTTACTTTAGTCTCAAAATATTAAAATGGCTAGATCTCACAGTAAAACATAACCTATGAAAAGATTCATCGCAGTTCTTCCCTAGATTGAGTTAATTCTTATGACTCAGAACAATATTCTTGTAAATCAAATACTCTTAGTACCTCTAGAACACCAAGTGCAGTAGAGTTCCCAGCAATGTCTGCAGGCAGCAAGAAAAAGGTCAAGAGTGCCCTTCTTAACTTCCAGACCTAAAACCCAGAAGTAGAAAAAAACACATCATCTTAACAGTCCCTGAATGACAACTATGTGCTAGATATTGTCCTAGTAACTTTAAATAGATTATCTTATTTAGTTCTCACAACAATCCTATGACTTGGCTAGTTATTATCACAATTGTCATGATGAGAAAATTGAGGCTCCGGGGGTTCAGAAAATGTCCCACAGCTACGAATATTTTACAAAGCCTAAAAATAAGGTAAATCAAAGAATGTGCCACTGTCTTAAGCCTTTAGAAAAACACTCTCATCAGTGGACCCAACTGTTCACATACCTTTGGTAGATATAGCCCTATAGTGAAGATGTGGACTATCAAACCATCATGATTGGATATTATATCTTAACTTAAATTAAGAAATTAGCTTTGTTTTCCATATGAGACTTCAGTAATTTACTTAGCATGAAACCAGTTCCCCAGATCAAACTGAGTTTCTAGATCTACAATTGCTGAGGAACAGACACCAGACTATTCAAGTTAAGGTCATTCTTTGAGGTCTGTTATGAATGGCACCTCCCTGGAGATGTCTATTTCTTTGTTCATTAACCATAACATTCCTTTGTCTCTTCTTTTGAATATTAACTTTCTCCACTGGATTTCTAATATGTTCTTTATATAGCAAAAAATGTAAAGCTGACCACTAGAGTGAGTTCTTGAAGAGTCCCAGGTCCATATGCCTATGATGCCCTGGATAGAGACAGCAATATAATATTTTATTAAGAAAACTAAAGACTATGATTTCCATTCTTTCTTTAACATAAGAACATCCATACCTGCAAGGAGGTGGGTAGTTACAGTGGCTGAGAAAGGAAGACAAAAACATATTTAAAAAATACTCTGGAGCCCATGGCTCAGTTGAGCACAGACCCAGGAATGAAGAGGTTGCCGAGTCAATTTCTAGTTAGGACACAGGCCCAGGTTGCGGGCTGGATCCCCAGTAGGGGACCTGCAGGAGGCAGCCAATCTATGATGTTCCTCTCGCATAGATGCTTTTATCTCTCTATCCCTCTCCCTTCCTCTCTCTCTAAAAATCAATAAGAACATATTAAAAAAAACACACACCAACTTTGAAAAAAAAGAAAAAAGGAAAGAAAGAAATATTAAATATCTTTAAGTATACAAAGAATTATTTGATAGAAACCCACACTTTTAAACTATGAAACATGGAGCACTGCCTTAGTTTGGGAACAGTTTAGAATATGTATTACACATATAGTGTAAGAATAAATGTCTCTTTCACTTACTGATAAAGATCAGTTTAGAATATATGCAAAAATGGAAAAGAGGCATGGTTAAGATGAGAAAAACTAAAATCACTTAAATCCTTCTTCCCTTATCTTTCCAATCATTAATTTTATCAGAATTTTTAAAATTAAAGTAATTTTTTGGGGGTGTGTGTGTCCGACTATGAGTACATGCTTATTGTAGGAAATGTAAAAAGTATTAAATATTGTATTAAGAATATGTTATCAGAAATAAATCCAGAGACATGGAAGCATACAATAGACTGAATCTCAGAGGGAAGGGGGAGGGGAGAAGTGTGTGGGAAGAGATTAACCAAAGAATTTATGTGCATAACCAATGAACACAGACAAAAGTTTGGTGAAGGCCTGGGGTGGGGGATGGGTGTGAGATAAAGGGAGGAAAAAAGGGGACATCTGTAATACTTTCAACAATAAAGATAAATTAAAAAAAAGAAAAAGACTATGTTCTCTGACCAAAATGGCATTAAATGAAAACACAGTAACTAAAAAGATATCTGGAAAATCCCAAGTATTTGAAAATTATTTGACAATACTCTTTGGAACAATCCATGGGTCAAAAAAAAAAATTACAAGCGACATTAGAAAATATTTTGAATGAAATGCTAATGAAAATGTATAGCTTTAAATGTTGATATTTTAAAAAATAAATTTTAAAATCAATGAACTAAGCTTTCACCTTAAAAAATTAGAAAAAGTAGAATAAATTAAACCCAAAATAAGGATGAAGGAAAGAATTACTGAAAGAGCTCAAATCATAAAACACAAAACAGATAATCCACAGAAAAATAAATCAAAAGAATCAAAAGTTGATTATTTTAAAGGACTGATAAAAGTGATAACCCCTAACTAGACTAATCAAGGGGAGAGGGAGAAGAAAATGAATCCAATATCAGAATGAAAGAGGGAGCATACAATAGATCCTACCAACATAAGAAGGAAAACTGTTTTATAACATATATAATTTATTTTCAAGCTGACAAATTTGACAAGTTAAGATAAAATGGGCAGATTCCTTGAAAAATACAAATTATCAAAACAGGCATAAAAAGAAATAGAAGATCTGAATAGTCTTATATCATTCTTTTAAAAATTGAATCCTTAATTAAGAACCTTTCCACAAAGAAAACTGCAGGCCCAGGTGGTTTCATTGGTAAATTCTATCAAACATTTAAGGAAGAACAGCAATTTTACCCAAACTCTTCCATAAAAGGAAGAACAAAGGAACACTCACTGCTGGTAGAAATGTAAAATGGTAAACCCACCTTCGAATTTGTTGTCAGTTCCTCATAATGTTAAACACACACATATTCTAAAACCCAGCAATTCCACGTCTAGGTATTCATCCAGAATACATGTGTCACAAAAAGCCTTGTATAAGAATGTTCATAGCAGTTTTAGTCATAACAGTTGAAAATGGAAAAAAAAACCTTTCTGCAATAATAATAATAATAAACAAATTACAGTATATCCACATAATTGAATACTGGTCAGCAACTAAAAGGAAGTAACTACAGTTACATGTAACATGGATGAATCTATATTTTAAACAAGAGCTTCATAAAATTTTTATGCCCAGGAAAGTTTGAGAACCATGGTTATAGAAATATGTAAGAAAACAAAAAGAGAAAATAGGGATTTGGGTAATTTATAAGCTAATCAGTGCCATATACATTATTAACTATATGTAACAGTTGTCATCTTCCATTAAGTGCTTAATTGCCATTTAAATCAATATTCCTCTGATCATGTTTAATTTTCTACTTATGTGCTTCAAGGAATCCCAATTCCAAATTTTAGTCTTCGATCATCTAACTACCCTAATTTCTCATTAATCCCAACTCATACTGTACATTTTAGATAAAAATCCTGTTCACCAGTTTCCTTTTTTTCCCTTCCTTAATGTCCCACTTTCTTGATACTGTTTTCCCCACCTCTTTAATAGTGTTATTCTTACTCTTCACTGCACAGATTTGTCTTTCTACCTCCTTTAAGACTGAACCAAAAACTCATCTTTTCCACTAAGTGCTAAACCTCAGATTTTTTCCAAATTCTCTCAGCACCCGAAGATCTTGCTCCTAATATATGTATTTATTTTACTGAATTTGGACATCTCTTATAATGACTCACTAACTCCATCCCCTGGTTATAGAGTAGACCAGTGATGGCGAACCTTTTGAGCTTGGCGTGTCAGCATTTTGAAAAACCCTAACTTAACTCTGGTGCCGTGTCACATATAGAAATTTTTTGATATTTGCAACCATAGTAAAACAAAGAGTTATATTTTTGATATTTATTTTATATATTTAAATGCCATTTAACAAAGAAAAATCAACCACAAAAATTAGTTCGCGTGTCACCTCTGACACGGGTGTCATAGGTTCGCCATCACTGGAGTAGACCCTTTGGGTCCAGTGAATTAAAAAGATTACAGTCCTTTTCAAGGTTCATTTTCTTGTGCTGTTTTTACTTTTCTCTCTGGCATTCTAGTTGCCAGAGGCTTAAACTCTATAGGGCTGGAGGGGTAGGAGAGAAAGAGATGGCTGATTATGGCTGTTCTGCATTAGATTTTAAAGGTAAAAAAAGCCTTTAGGCTTCAATATCTGTTCAGACTTGCTCACTTACCCAAAGAAGCAAACAGGATTCTAAAAAGAGACTTTAGGAGAGGAATAAGGAAGTGTGTTTGTCTATGAATTCCCTGTGTCGTACAGGTGATCAGACAGGATGCAGTACAGTTTCAAGGACATTCAAATATTTCTGACAGCAAATATTTCTATGTATTGTTTATAATGTTAGGGGGTGGAGGTTTGACTGGAGGTGGGCAAAAATTAAAAATCAAACTAAGCGCCAGTACTCTTTGTTCTGCATACATTATTACTTAGGAATTACTCGTCTAATTTCACAACTTTCAATTTTAAATTATGCCTTCCAAATCATATTTATAAACCCGATCATGCGCCTGAGCTAGAACAATATTCCCAAATGATATCTTGATCATGTTAATCTAAAAAGCACAGAGTTATCTGAAAGCAAACTTAGTATTCTCCGCCTCTCAAACTTGCACATATTATTCTACTGCTAAGTCAGAAACCTTAGACTCATTCTCAACTTTCTCTATCATCTCCAAACACTAACGAAGTCTGGAAGACAAACTCCTAAATATCTCTGAAATCAGTGCTCTTGTTTCTATCCCCACTACAAATTCCTTAATTCATACCATCATTATCTCTTTCCTGAACTAGGGCAGAGCCTTAAATGACATCCTTGACACTAATCTACCTACCAGGGGCCAGAGAGACTGCCACATTCACTCAGCCTGCCACATGTATTATTTGATGAATAAATGTCTCCAATCTCTGTTCCTCCAGACTATTCTCTTTATTACTGCTATAATCAGTTTTCTAAACCACCAAACTATTTGTGTCACTTCCCTACCTATAAACAAAATAAAAATCCAAATTCCTACTATGGCATATAAAACTACTCACAATTTGTTCCCATTTTACCTTGGTTCTAGTCTTACTTTCTAATTTTTTTCTGCACTCATTTCAAGAGATCAAACTTCACCCTTTTCTTTAGACACACTATGCCCTTTCTTTAGACACACTATGCCCTTTCTTTTTAATAATCTAGAATAAATAGTAACTCAGTCCAGCTTATTTTGTTTTTATGAGTACCTTATACTATTTTAAGCCATTAGCTAAACCTGTAC